GCTTCTCCAGCACCAAATCTGGGATATACAAGGCAAAAAGAAAACCTAGAGCACTCACCTCTAGTGAGTCACTCCTCAGGTTCTGAGGTCCCTAGCTGGTATGTCTTCTTATCTCCACCTTTCAGAGTCTTTTAAATTTTGTTTTACATATAATATTTTTATCTGTTTTTCATGCAAATTTTGAATAGGGAAACACCAGTCCCAGAAATTTCAATCAATTTGAGGTACTTCTGTGAATCCCCTAAAGATATGGGATCAGGGAATTTAGAGCCTACCAAACAATGTGGTACTGAGAGGTGGTGGCTGCTAGATGACCAAGCACCCCTGTAAGTATAGGAAATCTCTCACCTGGGAGCAGGGGGAATGAAGAGGAAGGCAATGGCCACAACTGCTAAGAGTCACAGACAGGAAAGGTCTACCTCACTAAGGTGTATAGGCAGAAGTTTGGGCATGTTCTCCGTTTTTCCTTTCCACCACTGCTGCCTTAGGAACTCCCCTACCTTTAATTGTATATTTGCTACTCTTTCCCATCTCCTCTTTGAAACTTAGCAACACACTAGAAGTCTAAAAGAGAGAAACCCTTTTTGCTAGCTATGTTGACCACTTGGACACACAAATCCTTTCCCATTAAAAGTAGGGCTGCTCAGGAACTGTTCTTTCTCCACCCAATAACCAAATTAGAAAGAGGGGCCTTTGGGGGTCTCTGGGCATTAAACGAGGACCTGGAAATTAGCCCTCAGTGGTAATAATTTTATTGAATAATAAGAGGACTGAGGGAGTAAGGCACAGGAAAACTCATTTTGGAGTTTTACCTCCATTTCAAGGCACAGAGGAACCCAGAAGACAGTGTTGTGTATTCCCAGGGAAAGGCAGATTAGGGACTCCTAATTACTCTTCCATACTCCCCTCCTCATCCCTCTCTTCCCATAGGAGAGCCTGGGTTGGGTGGATGGGGGGTGTACAAGGACTCTGGCTCAGCTTTTGCAGCCTCCATGCCTCTATCTTGGGGCTGTGGTGCCACTTACTACCCAGTTTTCCTTGGGGGACAGAGTGGGCCTGGGAGCAGCAGGCACTGACTCCAGGAGCAGCAAGCAGACTTTCTGAGAAGTCAGGGGAAAACCAGAGATTCACTTATCTCTCTACTTTCTGTAAGGAAGGGTGGAAAGAGCCTTGGAGAAGGGCTTGAAAACTGGCGTTTAGTTCCTGTATGGGCCTCACTTTCCCCATCTGTAAGACAGGTATAAAAGCAGCCGCCTCTCAGAGTTGCACGGGATGGATCAAATGTGATGAGGGATATGGGAGCCCCTGTGAACTCTAAGTTGCCCACCCAAAGGTGAGGGCAACTGTTATCACTGAAGGGAGCCTCTGTGTCCAGATATGCTGGGGGGAAGACCCTTGTGTTCATGGAGCCAAAGGAAGAAGGAAGTGTGTCTGTGCTGGGGGAGGGGGGGCGAATGAGGAGGCAAATAGCTGAACGATGTCCCACTGACAGGAGGAAACTCTGGCCTTTGCAAGGCTTTGAGGCAGGTGGAACTGCAGGGCTGAGCTTCCCAGAAGACTTCACCCTAGGGGAGGAAGAGCATATGTGGGTGTGTGGGGGAGGCGAGTGGAAGTGATTACCCTCTCCCTCTCACTCCCACTTAGGCAAATGGCTGAAGGTTGATGGAGAGGAAGCAGGTTGATGGAGAGTAGGGTGGAGGAGTGTCGGATGGGGAGCAAATTGAGGAGGGGGCTCTTAGAGTCAATCTGGTCCGTTCACGTTTGGGGGAGGTTTCTCAAGCCTAGGAAATCCCACTAGTTCACCTGTGTGAACCTAGGGCAGCTGGTGGGGGCTCACCTTCACCCTGAGTGGTATCCCGGGACCATGTGGTGGGTGTGTGAGCAGACCTGAGCTGAGAGCTATCACCTGCGTGGTAGCCCATTCCCCCCCCCCAGGAATTCTGGGGACAGTTATTATGGGAGGAGTGGGCCAATTCTTTGGAAGATGCAGCCCCATCGTACTGACTTGCGTGGAGGAGGTGCCCCGCAGGCCCTGCCCAGGGTTGGAGGTTGGAGAGGCAGGAGGAGGAGGATGGCTGCTCTGGACCTGAACGTTTCCTGGAGGCTGTTCCCACCCCCCAGTCCCCGCATGTCCAAGAGCCCCCTGCCCAGAACCAACTAGATCCTTCGCCAGCTGCAGGTTGACTCTAACCTTGGGGCCTTGGGGCCAGATCAAGTAGGGGGGAAGACAGAAGAAGGCCTCAGGTAGGAAGGAGTTGTCGCTGGTCCAGCCCGGATCGCCTCCAGGGCTCTGGACCAAGTGGTCGGTAGGGGTGGCGGCGACACAGCAGTCCCTGGTGGTGGTGGTGGCGTGGGCGGAGCAGTGGGAGCGGGTTGGGGCGGGGGGGGATCGAGGAGGAGCACAGCCCGGGACACGCACGCGGCAGCTGCAGTTTATTCATCTGGCTCTCTGACCAGTTGGCAGGACCTGGGGCTGGATTCTCCTGACTTCCTTCCCGCCCCCTTCCCCTGAGCGGGCCTGATTCCCATGTGAGTATAGCAGGATCAGATTCATCTCTGTGTCACAGTTCCCGGGGTTCTTACCCTCCCCAGGCGCGGAAGTGGATGGAGGGCCCCGGGGGATGTGCGGGGGCAGGAACCTTGCCCTTTCCCACCCAAGGTAGCCAGAGGACAGTGGCAGAACCAAGAGATGCTGCAGCCAGGGCCGCGGGGACAACAGCCCCATCTCCATCTCCAGGCACTCCCTGAGTATAGCGTAGGCATGGAGACCTGGTGGGAAGTGGTACTTGTAGCACTCCCATCTCAGGATCCCAGGGCCTAGTCGTTTTGAAGGCAGTGTAGCGCAGTTGCGCAGTGGGAAAAGGAAGGTAGCAATTGCCTGTCTCTAGTCTCTCATCCCTGAAGTAGGTATGGCTGGGAGCACTCTATAGATACTGTCAGTCTATGAGTCCTACTGGCCAGGCAAGAAGGCTGCTGGGCTAAGCTCTGACACTTGTTGGATGTGAGCAATGGGCTAATTTTATCTGGCTGGACCTCCTTATCAGCAGGAAACCAAAGCTGAGGAGCGCATAGTTCTTCCAGGTGGCTTTGGCCAGGGGAAGGCCTGGTAGTAAGGTGGAAATGCTGGGGCCTCCATCCTGGAATGGCCATGGTGGTTCCTATTCCTATCCCAAAGGCTCTGAGGTCAGTAAACTGTGGGCTGCTGGGATCTAGAAGAGAAAAATGTATCTCAGAAAAAAAGATAGTATAAATTCCTTCTTGTATTTTTCTCTTTGTTTTCTCCACCTCTGCTTTCATTCTAAAATCCCTGAGCTTCTAGCAGAATGCCTTACACATAGCAGGTCCCATAGAAAACATTTCTGAATGACTTGAAAATCAGTCAAGGAACTCTGCTTCTGGTGACCACTAGGGAGAGCTGGAAGGCAGGAATTGAAGGGCCTTCTGCTGCAAAACCTCAACCCTTGCAGGAGTTGGGTATCTAATCCCTTTCCTTGTGCCTCTGAAGTCTCCCATACATTTCAACTCATTAAAATTTCAGAACTCCCTTCAAGGGTTCTGGTTCAAACCAGCGTCCACCCTATCTAGGTGTCAGCTGTCAGACATCAGGGATTTGCTGGGGGCACCTGTAATCCCTGTCAGCTGGCCTGCTCTGTTGCTGTGGAGAAGTTGCTTCTCCACAGCTGCTGGCTCCCTCTTCAGACCTGAAAAGGCCCTCAAGGAAAGCATGTGCTCATAAAATTTATGGGATCCCACAGCTTTGAAATCTAATGATCTGAGTGATCAAACACAGACTGGAGCCTTGGGGCTACTGGAGGAGGTGATAGAGGAAGCAGCATAACTTGGGTGGGAGAGCCTGGGGCTAGGCAACAGGACAGAGTAATTAGTCTCAGTGGGAGGAGATGAGGAGGCTGTCAGCCTGTGGATGTATGCACTGAGGGGAGAAAAAACAATCACCAAGAGTTGAGTGGTAAACCACCCTCTCTCAAAGGAAACCAGCCCCCTCTCATTTCCCCTCCTCTGTTCAGTGAATGACCACAGAGAGATGGACTTTATTTATGCCTCTTGGGTTACTGGAGATGGAAGAGCAGTAAGTGGTGCCAGCTTTCCAATGCCAAGGCTGCATGAAGGTCTTGAGTGTTTGGGAAGAGAGAACACCAAAAGTATGTGTTGGTTGGGAGTGAGAATAATATTGAAAAGATGGGATATGCTAAAATCAAACTTTTTCAGATTTCATTTTTGCTTGGACCTGGTCCTTTTGACACCATTTTGGAAATAAGCTCACTATATAAGTTGTTAACTGAAGTACACAAGGTATTTCCCCCTTCTTGAGTTCATTTCCTCATCTGTAAAATAAGGGGTTTGGACTGGACTGGAAGTCAACTACCTGAGTCCAAGTCTCAGTATGCTCTGTCACTGATGAACTATGTGAACCTGCTCAGTCCCTTACTATCTCTAGGCCTCAGTTTTCCTCACTTAAATTCAATGCAGAACGTGGACAAGGGAGACTCAAATTACTCCCAGCTTTGTCATTGTTGTAGGTTTCTCTTTTGCATCGCCCTCAATTCCAGAGTCTGTTGCTGTTCTGGCTGTGTAACCCAGCTATACCAGTCCCTTCAGGTTCTCCTGTCAATAGTAAGGGAGAGGATTAAATTGAATTGTTGCTAAGGTCTGTGTCCATTTTCAACATGGCATGTATATAGCAAAGTGGTGGCCTTCGTGGGGCCTTCACTGTACCTCAGCCACTAATTGTGTTCTCATTTTGTAAAGTGACTGATTTTCCACTTTAGAGCCCCTAAAAATCTAATCCTGAATAGATTAGATCAGAAGCCACCAAGCTCCAAACCCTCTGTATAGCTCCTTTTCCAATTTCTGCTCTCACAGAGAGTATAGAACCTGGCAGAAATTTTATTTGAAATGAGATTTCAGTTCTGAAGCCAAACATCTTGCTGTTAACTAGGTTAAGACTGTTTCACCCTTGCAGACAATACACATACCAAATCTAGATTTTTAGATCTGTTTATTTTGTTCCAAACCTTCTGAGGATTTAAATGTCCCAGATCTCAAGCTCCCAAATTTTGTTCGTTTTCCTAGACTTAACTGTGGTGCATTAGAGGCTGCATCCTACCCTAAATATTAATACTGAGCTGCTTTTACCAACCAACATTCTCTCCAAAAGCACACAAGCTCACACATGTACATGCATATATGTGGAAGAAATAAACTAATATCCCACTATGTTATGTGACAACTGATAGGGCAGATTTGGGACCTGTGAATGTCTTTCCTTCATCTGGAGAGAAGTGGTTGGCAGCCTGATTTTTAAGAGCTATCTTCACCTTGAGCAACAAAGGGGACCCTGCAAAACTGCCCTTCAGTGACTTGGTGGGGAAGGGACAGGAAGAATGGGAGCAGGGCCTTTGTTGCTCCAACATTTTCAATGTTCAATTACAAGGCTCCTGGGGCCTGGCTCCCCCGTTTCACTGCTGCTGGAGCCAACAGGATAGTAATTAGGCCCCTTCCTATCCACAGTGATAAGAGCCAGTGGATTTTCCTTTGGAGAGTTGATAAAAGCTGGACTAGGACCAATGGAGGGGGTGCAGGACTTTGGCCTTGAATGAGGCCACGAGAAGCCAACCATGCCCCAGCTGCCTGTTTGTAACAGAAAATGTTATGGGTGAGAACCACTGTATTCTTTGAAGCTCCTCACAGGCAACTTCGTCCTTCTGGCCCTGGGATGTCCCTGTCTTAGGATGGCAAGTCACCATTAGTTCCAAGTAATGGCCTAGGATGCCTGAAAAGAAGGTGATGAAAGATTAGGGTAACAGGAGCATAACAGACAGCGGCCCATAATAGGAAGAAAGGGACACAAAGAGACCAAGAAAGGAGAGAAGCTGAGCTCCTAAGGAGGTGGGTTGTGCTAGCTTGGACACAGCCTAGCTGGCAATGCTCTTCAGCAAGAGTGTTGCCCATAATCCAGATTATGGCAACATAATGGCAACATAGGGGAATATCTGGCACCTATTTCAGAGGGATTAAGATGGTCCAGACTCTACCTTTCCTGGCACCTTTAATGTCTGCTAAGTAGAATGGCTCAGGATGCTCAGCATGGGAGACACATTGGGTGGTAAAGGCTAGAATGGTTCCCTCTTCCTAAAAGAAATTGTTCAACACTATATGCAGCTGCTGCCTTTATCTGTAGGGGATCCAGGTTAGGAATGGAATTTTCCCTAAAACAGTCCCTTTCCTGCCCTGCCCCAGCTGGTAATATTAACCTATCATGAATAATGAGGGATGGAGGAGTTGGTCCTTTGCCAGGTCAATAACTATTGCCCCTCCCTCAACCAAGCCCTTCCCCATCATCAGTCCTCCTCTGCATGCTGAGATGAAAGGGATTTCTTCACATTTTGACAGATGACTACAAGGATGGGGAGCTAGGAGTGCCTGCAAGTTAGCACACTAGCCTGGGAAATCTGTAAAAATCAGTGAGTGGAACTTTATGGTGTTTAATATCCCTTCCCTATGTGATATTCTACTCTTCCAGATTATAATTATAGCAGCTTGAGCCAAAAAGTAAGATGTGGCTCAGACTGAGATGAGTGGAATTGATGATTTGGTAGGGATGGGCTGGGCCAAGAGAAGCTGATTGGCCCAAGCTCTAGGTCCCTCCTAGAGTGTCAAACACCCATGCATCTATGATAGTCTTAAAAAGAAATAGAGGGGGAAGAGAAGGGAAAAGCAGTAAAGGAAAGAAATGAAGGGAAGAAGGAAGCAGACTGTTAACCAACTCTATGTTGGGGAAACTATTTGTACTCTTGTAAAGTGATGTCACCCACAGCTCTTGGGAAGCCACAGCCCTCAGAGGCTCTGAGACTAAGCAAGACTCTTGTCTGATTTTACCTCTCTTCCCTTTCTCTGCCTCCTTACCAAAGGCTCCAAGGACAGATGGCAAGGAAATTCTGAGCACACAGAGGCTTGGATCTTCCCACCAGGCTTCTAGGGACACAGTAGCACCTTTGGAAGTTGCTTTTAGTGGGTGACTAGCAATCTGGGGCCAGGGGGTACTATCTCCAAGTGTTAGAAAGTATATGGACATGTTCCAAACACCAGAGAGATACTAAGCTTTTCTAGTTCCTGGGAGAAGGACCCTGGCAAGTTTAAAGGCATTCACAGGGAGCATTTAGTTAATGAGTTTAACAGGAGCTTTGGCTCCAACGGGATGGTCAGGTGTCTGAACTGCTGTGTGTGCATGTTTGAGAACAAATGTGCTGATGGCAAAAATGTAAATGCTGAGCAGGTGGAGTGAAAGGAAAGGGTTGAGGAGGAGCACACAATGACTAGGAAAACACATTAGATTGGTTCCTCAGGGATGGGGGAGCCCGGCAGCAGCTCCCCATTAGGGTCTGCATCAGGGGCCAACATCTTATCCTTGCTGGAATCCCTTTGCTCTTTCTTGAACATCCTTTGATGCATCAGAGGGACGAAGAAGAGGATTATAGCCCCAATGATTGGGGGCACACCAGCAAAGTAGAAGGCCACATGGTAGTCCCCAAAACAGTTGCGGAGGAGGCCTGAAATAGTTAAGAGAGACAAGTCAAGTTCAGCTTTGCCCTCCTGCCCAAAGATGCTCTCTGCCTCTTTTAGGGGCCATCACAATGCCTATCCAGAGAATCTTGCCTGCACTATCTTTACCCAGGACCTACTCAATGTAAACATTCCTAATGAAAACAATAAAACCTCTATTACAAAGTCAGGTGGCTCCTCCCTGAGGTAATGGGGCTGCAGGCCCTTGAGGTTAATGCTTATTATAAAAGAGGCTAATGAAGCTTCTCTTAAAGTTCTCCAGTTTTTACTTTCATGAAGGTACAGCTTAACTTCCAGTCACTCCTAGGTAGGGAGTTAGGAGGGGAGCTAGTTCAAAAGAGTTCCATAGAAGATGACCAAGTCTTGTCTTGATTCAGTGATATACCCTTCACCCCCCAACTTTGGCTAGAGTGTTCTTGTGAAACAATTCAGCTAAGTTCCTATTTTATCTTTCTCTGAAGTGCCCTTTCTCTGAAGTTCCTATTCACCCTAAGGGAATGCTGTTTGTATATCCTTCATCCAGTTACAGATATGGTTGGCCCCTCTGGGTTTGTATAGATTGCTAATAACATGGATATGTTTGGCATGGTACGCAAGGATTCCCTGCTTACCTTCAGAAACAAAATGAGGACACCTCACAGGAAAGATGATCCCATAAACACCACTGAGGAAAGGCAAGTAGGCCCTTGGGCTGTTTAGATGGTAAGCGAAATGGAAAGAGATGTGGATTCTGGGATCCACCTCTGGGATCAGGGGCTGGATAGAGGCTCCCTCCTTCAGTGAGCAACATGGCTGTTGCACAGGGTCTGGGTTGAAGTTTTTGTCACTGTCACACAGCATGACATGCCCTTACAAGGCCTTGCACAGAATTGGTGTTCAAAGGATATTTGTTGAGTTAGCCCTGTTGGCCAGCCTAGGAAGGCTAACCCACGAATCAATATTTACATTAAATCTTAAAGAAAAGAAATGGAGTTCTATTTTCATTGGTTTTCCTTGTTTCCTATGTCCCTTGGGGTATCAACAATGCTCTTCTTGGAGAGTGGAGAAGGAAACTGAGAATACTGAAAGACAGGAAGCCAACACTTTGCCTACTACCTGCTAGAAGTAGAAGCCTCACTGCCCAGTCCTAGGATTTGGCTTTAATCAAAATCTCTTCTACAGGCTCAGTTCAGAAGCCAATAGAGAAGTGGGGGGCATCTCTAAGTCTTAATAAAGCCAGGGTCCACTTTATCTTCTCTTCCTGCCCAACTACCTTGCAAATAATTACTTGCTTATAAAGAGAAAGAGAGAAGATACTGGACCAATAGAATGATCAAGAAAGCCAAACCCATTTCTCTCTTTACCCTCCTGGAATCATCCAGCTGTCTAAAATAAACCCCACTGAAACATAGGGCCATGAAAAGCCCATTCCCAAAAAATGAATCCATGCACATATACTATACTTAGCCTCTTCCACCAATAAGGGTAAGAGGTTTCATACCCTCTGACAAGGTGGCTTAAATAGAGAATAAAAGGGACTTGAAGCAGAGGTGCTCAGAATTGCTAGTGCCCAGGGAAGACAGGACTCCCCCACTCATGCCCTCCCTGTAATATCAACCTCACCTGCAATGGGGGGCCCAGCAATCATCGGCAGGGCCATCATGCCAAGGAGGTAGCCAATTGCCTGTGAGGCCTGCATTGGGCCCACCAGCTCAAATGCGATGGGGGCCATGATGGTGATGAAGAAGCCATCACACAGACCCAGGAAGAGGCAGACAACGATGAGGCCCCCGAAGCCCCGGCACAGGGGAATCATCATGGACATCAGGCCCAGGAGCAGGAAGGAGATGACCTAGAGGAGCAAGGGCCTTAGTTCATGTTGTGCTTGTCAGTCAAGACCACATAGCAAAGCATATCTCCTTTATCAGGGTTTCATGTCTATCATCTATAAATTAGAGCAGGGAGTGTCAACAGAGAGAGCAGTTGGGCTAAATAATTACTTAGGCCCTTTTTAAGTCTTGCACTGAAAGATTCAAAGTTTTTAAGAAAGTCCCTACTTAACTTTTATTCCTTCAACATTTTTTAAAAAGGTAAGGGGCATGGCCCCTCCATAAAAAGTTGTCTTTTCACTGGACTCTAAGCTAAAGGAAATTGCTGTTGTTCTGATCTTGTGTTTGGCTGCCCAGGCATTAGGATCTGGGATCGGATCATGCTAGTGTTCTCAGGTCCAGGTAAGGTATGAGAAGAGGAAGGGAAATAAGTGAGGATAACTTGGATGATGATTAGATGGGGGCATGTATGGAAGGCACAGCTTTCTGAAATGAAGAAGGACCCAGTGCCCATTTATGTGGGTGTCTGCTTTTAGAAAACACCTTGGGATGAAGGAGACCATTGGGAGGTTCACCCAGGTTCCTTATGATTTAGAAGATTCATGCACAACTATAAGATAAAACCAGATCTACCTATCAACCAAGCCATAATGGTGTGGCAATTAAGGGTTAACAGCATTATACAACACAGAGGACCCCATTAACTGATTTCCATCATCTCCAATTACTACCTATTGTATCTAGCTGCCATTTAACATCCTCCATGAGGCCTTGCAAAGTTCAGAAATTTAAAGTCTCTCTTTGAACTGAGAATCAGACCTCAAGAAGTGGCCTAAAGTAAGGCTGTCCTACAGGCTGTCACCATTTCTTTTCTAACAGACTGTCCAGGGGTGGTCTGTATACCAGATACATGCACCTGTCTTTTCCAATAGTAGGAACTACAGGGTCTAGTGGGTATCTCTTCAGAACCTGAAGTTGTGTACACTCCTTTCCTCTCTCCCAGTCCTATACTCCTGTATCCGACCCAGGGAGAAAGAGGCAAATTCCTGTGATGGAGTATCTTGAGAAGCTCAAGAAAAAGAAGTTTATCCATTGTCTTGTGTTCTCAGCCTGCAACATTTGCCAGCAAGATGAGTTTGGACTCATCTTTCTCTATCTAGGCCTCAGTTTCTCAATTTATAAAATGAGGTAGTTGTACTATAATCGATAAAGATGTATTTCAGCTATAACATTCTAAGATTATTTTATATTACTCTAAGTGGTAAAGCTGGGTCATGTAGGACTGAAAAAGGGGAAAGAATGTTGGGTAAGTAGGGGAAGTGATCAGCAGAAGCACTGGGCCCTAAGCCTAGTTCTGCTTCTGATTAGTTAATGCCTACACCTCCCTTGGAACTTTCTCTACACAACAGAAAGCGAAAGCTGCTTGGGTCTTACTTCTCTCCTAAGGACTGTGGTGAGAAATGAGCTGTATGGATAGGCAGGGGATGCTGTTTTTGCTCAAGATAAAGTCTTGGCCCAATGCTAGCTTACCCTGATTTCTAGCACCATTAGCATCTTGGAGCTGCTCATACTGACAGGGAAGACCTACAGGGGTGGCATGTGGAAGAGGCTGAAAAAGTCATACATTCTCCTATTCAAAAAGCCACCCAGATAAGGCACTTGCTGATATTTGCCCTGGAATTTCAAAATTTCATAACTGGTTTATCTCAATCACAGTCTTTTGAGTTGACTTTGGTCAAGTTACTTATCTCTGGGACATGGCTCTGTCATCCATCACTTAGTATAAAGTGAAGTATGAGAAAAGTGCTACATATGAATTCAACTTTGCCATGACTGTCTGTATGAGTATTTCCCTCAGTTTCTATGTAATGAGAGGTTGGACTAGATGAACCATAAGGGCACCTCTAACTCTGACAAAGCAGATTCACCAGCTTTTGCAAATCTAACACAGAGTTAAACACAACAAAAATCCTTAATCACTCTTGAATGCTGACAAAAACTGAGGACTGATGGATGTGGGGGGGAGGGGGGATGGGCATGGAGGAGGGCACTTGTGGGGATGAGCACTGGGTGTTATGTGGAAACTAATTTGACAATAAACTATTTGAAAAAAAAATCCTTAATCATATTCTTGTCTAAGACACCTTAGAATATTTAGGAAAACACAGGGCTGTCAGAAGACAGAGAAATCTCTACTATGAGAATAATCAGGGTCCCTTGGAAGTGCTTTTAGGGATTCTCCAGGAGAGTGAGAACTCAACCACCTTCTTAATGGATTGTTTGTAACCACATTTTTGGAAGGGCTGCTGTTGCCCCTCCACAGGGTTCCACATTTGTGTACCTTCTAGTAAACCCAGCCCCGGGAGCAAAAAGCATGAACAAGGTCAGAAAGGTAATACTGCTGCCAGGTAGACAAAGAGACAGCTTGAGCAGTAGTTCCAAGCCATACCAGAGTGCAGTTCACACAGAAACTGCCCACAATATGAGGCACTGTGTTACTGTTCGAAGGATTAAAATCTTGCATGGCTATAACAGTTTTTTACTTCCCCAAACCTGGTCACACCTATATTTCTTTTGGTCCTCTCCTGTGAGGTAAGACAGGAAAGGCAAGAATTATTCTTATTGTACAAATGAGGAAAGTGTGGCCCAGAGAGAGGAAGTAAGGTTGTGTTTTCTGGCACTATTTTTGTGTTCATCAGGAGGATAACATTTGAGAGCCAATGCCTGATGCAAGTAACTGTGAGAATGTAAGAAGTAAGTGATTGACTTGGTCCTGCTGGCTTAGAGGAGAGAAACACTGGGCCACAGAGAACTACAGATGCCCAAGACCTTCCAAGACAGTAGGGTGTAGCAAAGAGATCAGTCCTCAATGGGGAGCAGCATCTAACTCCTAGCCTCAGTTTCCCTATTTTAGATGGAAGAACCATTATTAATAAATGCTTTCTTTGTAAGTGTTCTTACAGGTTCCATTTACATAGTGCTCTCACTGGATCCTTACTCCATCTTGATGAAGGAGGCAGAGCAAAGACAACTGTCCTCATTTGAAATCTAAGGAAACTGAGGCTCAGAGAATTTGATTGACTTTCCCATGCTGAATGACAGGCTTGTGTCAGAGCTGGGACACAGGGCACAGTAATGACACAAGTTACCATTCTATCCCAAAGGCTGGGGGTAACCTAGCATCTGTGACAGGCTGTTCCTTCCCATAGCACTGTGGTCAGGGCAAGGTGGTCACACTCACCTGCAAGTAGATCTTCTTAAGTCCAGGAATGGAGTCACTGACACGGCCTGACACAAGACGCCCAAGGCCTGAGGTAGCCCCAATACACACCAAGAGCACCCAGGTCTGCTTGATTTCCAAGAACTCCTCCTCCACATACTTCATCTGAAAAGCATAGCACCAGGACCCCCAGGGACAGAAGAAAGAAAAGGAGCTGACTGGTTAACAGTTGGCATATCCAAAACCCTCTACTCCTTGCTTTCCTGAACCATGGCAAGAGCTCCCTTCCCTTCAATCCCCTCCTTTGTAGCCTTAGCTCCCGAATAAGCTTTCTGGCTACTTCTAACTGCTTAAAAGGCTTCATATCCCTTGGCTCTTTATATTCTGGGCTTCTGAGCAACAGATAAGGGGAATGGGTATCTCCAAGCCCCTTCCAAGCCCTGGCAGGACAGAATAAAGCCTTAACAACTAAGAAAACCCAAGGGCTCCTCCCAAATCCCAATCTAGAGAGACTGGTTATATGTTGTTTCCTAAACAAATCATTTGACCACAAAGACCAGTATTCCACAGAACACACTCTTAGAAAACCCTGTTCTTGGGGCATCTGGGTGGTTTAGTCGGTTAAGTGTCCAACTTTGGCTCAGGTCATTATCTCACAGTCTGTGAGTTCGAGCCCCATGTCGAGTTCAATGCTGACAGCTCAGAGCCTGGGGCCTACTTCAGAGTCTCTGTCTCCCTCTTTCTCTGCCCTTCCCCCTCTCGTGCTCTGTCTCTCACTCTCTCTCAAAAAAAAAAAAAACAAACATGAAAAAATTTAAAGAAAAGAGAGAACCCTGTCCTTGGGTCATCTCAGCCAGTCTTCAACATCCCAATGATGCTTATCTTCTGAAAATCTATCTAGATTTATCAAGGGGAAAGCTACAGGCATGGGCTTTCCCCTAATGAATTCTACTCATTTCCCATTGAAGTCTTCCTTCAGTCTGTGTTCTTCCCACTTTGGGTCTCTTCAAACACTGTTTGGTCTCTTTTTCCAAAGATCCCACCCCTGCCCTTCCAGTGTCCTTCACCTCTACCCTATGGACTTCAGGCAGGCCAAGGGAAGCTTCCTAAAGGTAGGTGGGCCCACCCTATTATTTCTTACCAGGTGTACATAAGGAACGAAGTAGCCAAGGGCAGCAGCAGCAATCCCAAAGGCCCAGATGCGGTAGGTACGTTGGCGGAACACTCGCATGTTGAAGTACTTTCTAAGCTGAGCCAGAATGCGTTGGCACAGGGTGCGGACACCTCTCTTGTTTGGGGTGTCCTGAGAACTGGGTAGGAGTGGCCGGTAGGTGAGCGAAAGCAGGGTAAGAATAAACATGAAGGTACTCAGCACCTGGAAGGTTTGGGCGAGCTTGATCTTAGCCCCCAGTGTTTTGATGAGAAGAGGAAAGGATATGGAGAAGATGCTACTTCCAGCAGACACCACACCATTGGCCAAACCCAGGCGGCGTTGGAAGTAGTGGCCCAGGATGACGAGAGACGGCTGAAAGGCGAAGGAACAGCCACAACCAAAGAGAATCCCATAGGTGAAATAACGCAGGCTTAGTGAGCTGTGGGAGAAACACCAAGAACTATTCTCAGCAGCCTGACCAAAAATCTACCTGCCCTCTCCCTTCACCCTCCTAAGACTTGTATACCCCCACCCTTAACCCACAGCCCCACTTACCACTGACTCTCAGAACAGACAATAAATAGGACTTACTAATGCAGATAGGGAGACAGGGGCTTAGAGAACTAATTTACCTAATGTAGCATACCTGGGGATCAGCAAAACTTGGACTTGACTCTTGGTCTGCATGATTCTAGTTTGAATCATGGTACCCCATCAGAGAGAATCGTTCAAAAGAATGCCAGAATCAACCTATGCAATTCCTGGATAAGAGACTATAAGGAGTAAGTCAGGGCTTTGGAACAGTTTGACCTACTGGTCACCTAGACACCATGGGTAGACTGATAGCCAAAGCTTTTTCTCAAGTAACAAAAGGTCAATACCCTCCATGGGACTCTACTATCTTTCTCCATGCTAGGGGCCCTTAATATTTCAGAAAATGGCTGGTGGTATCCTGAGAAACACCTCATCCCCAACTCTGCCCAAGGTGTGGATATCCCATGACCCTTTACTACAGGTCCTATATGATCTCCCTGGGGATCTTCACGTAAGGAGTCCCTTTAACTCCAAGAACCTGGTTCCTGTTGCTGGACATGGTATGGATTAGCCTCTCAGAGTAGCCTGTCTGCTCGATGGGAAATGGAGCCTCAAAGAAGTTGTGGGCCTGGCCAAGTAAGACAGGTTTTGTCTTAAAACTCTTAGGTTCTGCCATGGCCATAAGCCTCTTTTCAAAAGAGAAAAGGCCATGGGAAGGTCAGCTTCACCAGCCATCTGCCCTTAGACAATATTGGCACAACCTAATGAAGAATTTTATTTTCTTTATGAAACTCCACATATTTTGCAACAGTTCTTATCTGACCACTTAATGCTCTCCATGGTCAAACAGTTGCTCCCCATAGATGGACCCAGTACTCATAATAAAGCATTAGGCCTATGCTGCAGAGATGATGTATTAGCACTCATCAGTTGTAAGACAACTACCATTGCTTTTCTTTTATTTTTAAGTTTTTATTTAAATTCCAGTTAGTTAACATAGTATTAGTTTCAGGTCTACAATATAGTGATTTGACACTTCCATATAACACCCAATGCTCATTGGGTGCATTCCTTAATCCCCATCACCTATTTAGTCCATCTTCTGAATAACTTCTCTAGTAACCATCAATTTGGTCTCTGTAGTTGAGTCTGTTTCTTGGTTTGCCACTCTCCCTCTTTTTTCCCGCCTTTGCTCATTTTTTTTGTTCCTAAAATTCCATATATGGGTGAAATCATATGGTATTTGTCTTTCTCTGACTGACTTATTTCACTTAGCATAATAGTCTCTAGTTCCAACTGTGTCATTACAAATGGAAAGGTTGCTTCTCATCTGCTTACGTTCACTGGATATAAGCAAAAGCTTTGGTTTCAAAAACGTTGTCTCCACTTGGAGCACATAGCTAAGCTAACTGCTCCTCTTCTGTCAGATTTTTTGGGATTGGCTTGGCCTGAGGGCCTTGTGTAAGAAAGGGGAGTTAGGTGGGTCTAAGGGAGACCTTCAAGGAGAGGGCAAGTGGGGGCAAAGCATGGAATTTGGTTCAGAGTGCTGTCTGGTGGATATGTTTCTAGCTGGGCCTCAAGGAAGGCAGGAAGGCTCTGAATAGACTTAGAAAGGCATCTCCAGCCCTGTCTGCACTCTCCTCCACCTCATGCTATCCAATGGAACTCAGAACCCAGGTTCAGACAACAGGAAGGATGACTTGGAGTTCTAATCACAAGAAGAACCACTTTCCCACCATACATGAAGCCATTCAGAAAGCTTCTTAGCTCTAAAGATGTTCTAAACTGAGGACTGATGGGTATGGGGGAGAGGGGAAGGGGGATGATGGGCATGGAGGAGGGCACTTGTGGGGATGAGCACTGGGTGTTATATGGAAACCAACTTAACAATAAACTATTTTTTAAAAAATAAAAAAAAAGATGTTCTTGTAGAAAAGGCAAATCGGGTGGGGAAGGGCTTAGGGGCTGGAGAACAGAATGCCTACTCCAATGTGCCTAAAGAAGAATACCAGAAAAAAATATATCTGAGCTCCTTCCCCTCCTGTAACCGAGCTCATGTGTATTGGAAGAGAAATGGGATCCATATGTTGCTAATTTGTTTATACTTCGCTCAGCTCAACTTTAAAAAACAAGCCTCTGCTGTGTAGTGCAGAGACTGGAGCCACTTCTGAGGCCTAGCTCCTTCCCTCAGGGGGCCAGGCACTAGCTTACTGAGGGCAAATGAGGCCAACCACCAGAAGGATCCTGAAAGGGCTTACAGCTGCTGCCATAGGAGGGCTGAGCACATTCCAAGCAAGACATGCTTTTCCCTCCTCTATCCCAGTTGGATGGGATGAAGCCAAGAAATCATGTGGGTCATATCCAAGCTCTGCTGGAGGGTAAGCTGGGTATCCAGAAATGCTCAAGTCATAAGGACAGCTGGATCCCCCTCACAGGGCCCAGTTGTGACAAAACACAATTATCATTCTCCACTCTGAGTGAAACTTTAGGCCTAGAGAGCATAATCATAGTCCTTCTCTGGTGAGCCAAGCTCAGAAAGCAAGTCTCTGACAAGTTAGCCATGTCTCCAGGCCAGCATTTTCATACACCAGCCTAGGCAGATTGGAAGTAGGAGGTATAGTAACTTCCAAAGCATCTTTGGCAGAAAGCCAACAGACTTCTTTAGGAATCCCATATTCCTCAGGCCATGGTGGAGGGTTTTTACTTCTCTCTTCCCCTGTAGACATGATTCTGTAGGATTGGCAGAAAGAAACCAGAAAATTAACATATAGTCTGCTTCTTCCCTGATACTACCAAGTTTTGCCAGTAGAACCAACTGGACCAGAGTTTGAGGTTAGCCTATGCCTAGCTGGGTAGCTGGATATTAGGTTTTTACCGAAGTGAGGGATGCTGCTAAAACATCCTTTCTCATGCCCAAGACATAATTTTTTTCTTTCCCAAATTATCTATACATTGGCAGCCAGAAATACCTAGAAAGGATCCAGAAATGCTAAACAGCCTTGGGCTCAGCTGACTTCTTTTTCAATATAAGATTCCCTCAGGAATCCTATAATGGTAGGTTTTTCACACGGATTCACTCCAGAAGCTCATTTCCAGGAAGGCAAGTGAGGTCATCAGTTGTGCAGCACATTAAGGGGAAATAGAATAGCAAAGCTGGAAGAGACCTGAAAAGACCATCTGGTCTATTTCCCACATGTTACAGGTATAGAAACTGAGGACCATATAGGGGAATGGTACTCATCAATCGTCCCATAGCCATTTAGTGGCCCAAACTGGATTTAGACCCAGTTTCATGAACTCTCAAGCTTAGGCTCCTCCCACCACTTTGGAACTCTTGGGTACTCTTTTGGGAATATTGTGTATCAGTGTGTCCTGAAGACCCTACCTAGATGAATCCCATTGTACAACGATTCTCATGATCAGAGTCTTTGAGAACTCTACATAGAAAGGACCACAGAGGATTCTGCAATGAGAAGAGTGTCCCTAGTTGAAGCCCAGAAAGAAACCAAACTTCAGCCTTGGGAAAATGGCCAGCAACTCCTAGCCTTACCTGGTGAAGGAGCTGGTATGGAGGCCTATGAAAGCGACAGCAGCACCTGCAGTTGCTGTGATTCGGCAGCCCAAACGATCAGTGAATATACTCACAATGGGAGAACAGAAGAAGATCATGCCCATTGAGAGGGCTCCTACCCAGGCTGCAGAGAAAAGAAGCACAAAGACAACTTAGCTTAATGTGGTACCTGGTGGTACAGCTGGTATCTCAGTTAGTTCACTGGCCTTTCACAGGGGTCATTGCATGGACCTTACTGCCATCCTTCTGGTCCCTAATGGTCAGAGAGGTTAGGTGATTTTCAAACCACTTGTAGCAGGGCAATGTGAGAATCAGGAATCTAGTTAATAAACATACCCAGAACTTCAGAGCTGGGGCAGAAGGCCTTTAGAGATCATCAAGTCTATGGTGGGACCTTCTAGCTAGCCACCACATGGCTGCACTCCATTTTTCAGCCACTTTGGTCTAACACTTTTGTATGACCATATGACTGAATGCTGACCAATACACTGTAGGTAAAAGTGATACACACCACTTCCTGGCCTGGATCATCAAAAACTCCCATGAGATTTCTGCTTTCCTGTGAGCTACAACTGCAAAGTGATCTTGCAAGCCATGTATTAAGACTGGAAGAACTTATATGGGAACCAACTTGACAATAAACTATAAAAAAAAAAAAAAGACTGGAAGACCCAGTTCTGTCTGGGTCACTAGATAATTACATGGAGCAAAGTTCCCTCTCTAATATGAAACCCTTTCCCTGAATATTGCATAAAAAATAAACAGGAGCGTGTGGGTGGCTCAGTCGGTTAAGCATCCGACTTCAGCTCAGGTCATGATCTCATGGTCCATGAGTTTGAGCCCCAAGTCGGGCTCTGTGCTGATAGCTCAGAGCCTGGAGCCTGCTTTGGATTCTATATCTTCCTCTTTCTCTGCCCCTTCCCCACTCATGCTCTTTCTCTGCCTCAAAAATAAATAAATAGTAAAAATTTTTAAACTAAAAAAATTTTAAAAAGAAACAAACTTCTTGTCCCTTAAGTCACTGAATTTTTGAGGGCCATTTGTTATAGAAATTAAAACAACATAAATTAAAACAAAGAGATTCCTCCACTGCCATTTTACTAATAAATAGTTCCAGAAATATGAAGGTATTTGCCAAAAATCACAGAGCAAGTTAGTGGCAGAGCTGGGACTCAAACCCAACTCTCCTTATTCCTAGTCCAAAGTTCATTGTATATGTCTTCCATTGAGATGAATGAAGCTTTCCATAACTAGGAGATGCAAGCAGATGTTAGGTATAAAACAGAGGATTCAAGAATTGGGATCATATTTGGACCACCTAGCATTTTAGGCCCTTCCAGGCATGCTAAGCCAAATTTATAGCTGTGAGCATTGTTCCACTCAGCTTCAGGGCCAAGGAGCATGGGAATTAATTAAGCCTTGAGGAGCTAAGGTAAGGCTTATGTTAGACATTGGAGCAGTCCTGTAAAGATGCTAGGACTAAGGAGCAGGGAAGTCCAAAGACAAAGGCCTCCTCAAATTGTATGAGGACACAGGGCAGATTTAGGAGCCACCCAGAGACTTCTAAGGACACTGTGCAAGAGGTCATGCAACCCTCATGCTGAAATCCTTCATCAGAGCCCATGTTTGGCAAATCCCTGACTCCAAGCTCAAATAAAAAGAGTTAATTATGTTTATAAAGGCTCTTATGTGTCCATAACAATCCTCACCAGGAAGGAAGAAATTTACCCTTTTACTTAGATTCTTCCAGCCCATTTCCCTTTGCTTAGCCCTCAGAAAGCTCAAGGGTTTTTTTGTTTTGTTTTGTTTCTTTTTTTTTTTTTTTTGAAAGCTGTTATATCATGTTTCTTCTTGGCCCTCTTTTCTAAGCTAAATTAGTTTCCTTAACTTCTTCCCTTAGCTTTAATTTTTAGCTCTGTAATTACTTTCAGAGCTCTCATCTGAACATGTTCCAAATCTTCATTTTCATCTTCATCATCATCATCAAAAAGCATTCATTGGGAGGCTCCTGGGGGGCTCAGTCAGTTGAGCCTCCAACTCTTGACTTTGGCTCAGATTATGACCCCAGGGTCATGGGATTGATCCCCATGTTGGGCTCTGCGCTGGGTATAGAGCCTACTTGATTCTCTCTACCTCTGCTTCTATCCCCAACTCTCTCTCTCTCTCTCTCTCTCTCAAAAAAAAAAAAAGAAAAGAAAAAAGAAAAAAAAAGCAACTATTCATCACCTGAGCATGGTGCCAGACCAGCTTCTGGCTCTCTTCAGTTATATAACCCCAAGTCGGTCAGAGAAGTGCAGTCTAAGTTGGGTCAGTGCTAGTCCACCGTCTGTGTCTCTTATCTCAGTGCCTAATAGGTTGCTCAGATTGCCATTGGGAATCTTTGCTTTGCAGGGCACCAACGTGAGTCCTAGCTGCCTGGCTTCAAAAGTACCAGGCTGGGACAGCAGGAAACCTGAAGTCTCTTATCACAATTTTACTTCTTACCATATAATTTCATTTCTTATCAGCTGTAAGACCTTGAGTAAGTCACACAGCACTTCTCTAATCCTCAGTTTTCTCATCTATAAAATAAGGATTAAAATTCCTGATGTTCCTTCCTCCAAGTTTTCCTTTAAATAATAATCAGAGATAATCATATTTAAGAGAGTGTTTTATAAATATCAATAGTCACACCATATACAAAAATTAATGCAAATGGATTACAGGCTTATATGTAAAACTTAAAACTAAAAAACCTACAGAACAAAGCATAGGAGAAAATCTTTCTGACATTTAGTTAGGCAAAGATTTCACAGATATTAACAAAAAGTATGATCCATAAAAGAAAAATGTTACATCAGAGTTTATAAAAATTTAAAATTTATGCCCTTCATAAAATACTGTTATCAAAGTCTAAAAAGCAAGCCATAGGCTGGGGAAAATATTTACAGCACATAGATCTGATAAAAGACTGATATCCAGAAGACAGTGTTAGTTGACTCTCACAACTCAATAAAAATAAAGCAAGCAATCCAGGGTAAAACATGAGGAAAAGATTTGGACAGACATTTCACACACATACACACACACAATTGAATGTCAGTTAAGCATGTTTTCATGCTCAATATCATTAATCATTCAAGAAATGCATATTAAAGCCACAGCAAGATACCACTACATACCCACTAAAAAAGCTTTTAAGAAATTACATACCTAATACTGGGGAGGATGTAGAGGAACTGGAAATCTCATACACTACTGGTAGGAATGAAAAATGGCATAACAACTTTGGAAAACCGTTTGGCAGCTTCTTTTTTTTTTTTTTTTTTTTACAAATAGTTTATTGTCAAATTAGTTTCTACATAACACTCAGTGCTCATCCCCAAAGTGCCCTCCTTCATGCCCATCCCCCCCTCCCCCCCACATCCATCAGTCCTCAGTTTTTGTCAGCATTCAAGAGTCTCTCATGGTTTGCCTCTCTCCCTTTCCCCCACCATTTCCGCCCTTCTTCTCCCCCTTGGTCCTCCGTCAAGTTCCTCCTAATCCTCCTATACGTGCAAACATATGGTATTTGTCCTTCTCTGCCTGACTTATTTCGCTCAGCATAACACCCTCAAGGTCCATCCAGGTTGCTACACATGGCCAGATTTCATTCTTTCTCATTGCCATGTAGTATTCCATGGCAGCTTCTTATAAAGTTAAATATGCAATTACCACATGAGCTTGAAATCCCACTCCTAGGTATTTACCCAGAATAAATGAAAACTTATGTTCACACAAAAACCTATGCCTAGATGTTTATGGTAGTCTTTTTTTTTTATAACTGCCAAAACTTGGCAATAACTCAAAATGTACTTCAACTGGTAAATGGATACATAAGTGGATATACATTAGTATAATGGAATACAACTTTGCAACAAACAGGAATAAACTACTAATACCAGTAACAACTTCAACAATTCTCAGAGACATTACAGTAAGTGAAAGAAGCTAGGCACAAATGATTTTATTTACATAAAATTCTGGAAAAGACAAAATTATGGGGACAGAAAAACAGATCAGTGGGTACCAGAGGAAAGATGAGGATAGGGAGAAGATTCATTACAGGGGAGCATGAGGGAACTTTCTGGAGTGATGAAATGTTAGATATCTTAATGTAGTGATGGTATTCTTTTGTCAAAATTCATAGAACTAAGCATATAAAAAAGGTGAATATTACCATATGTAAATTATACCTCAATAAATCTAATGTTACAGATAAAGGAGAGGGGGCAGGGAAGCAGAAAATGCCAATGGAAGATCTCATTTATAATGTATGTATTTTTATTCTGGCAGGATCTTCCAAAAAAACAATTCAAGTATATTGTCAAAGAGGAAAAAATTTTATACATTCACCAAATCATTTTGATGACATTGAATCAACTAGAACTCACCATTATTCACCATTGTTTGGCTCTTCTGAATATCTACAATACAATTAAAACTGATGATTGGCTTGAAGGTAACTTTTGTACAAAGAAAATTTAAGTTGTATTAGATATAGCATTTTTTGGTTAATGACATGTATTCATCATTATAATATCATACAGAATATTTTCACTACGAATTCTGTACTCTACCTATTCATCCTGCCTCACCCTTCCAACCTCTGGCAATCACTGATCTTTTTACTGTCTTCATAGTTTTGCATTTTCCAGAATGTTTTATAGTTGGAGTCATATAGTATGTAGCCTTTTCATATTGGCTTATTTCACTTAGCAATATGCAGTTTAGCTTCCTCCATGTCGTTTTGTGGCTTAATAGCTCATTTCTTTCTAGTGCTGAATAATATTCCATTGTCTGGATCTACTAAAGTTTATTAACTCACTGAAGGACAACTTGCTTGCTTCCACATTTTGGCAATTATGAAAAAATTTGCTGTAAACATTTGTGTGCAAATTTTTGTGTAGCCAAACGTTCTTGACATATTTGGTTAAATACTAAGGAGCACAATGGCTAGATCATGTTTAATTTTTTTAATGTTTATTTTTTAGAGAGAGACAGAGGATGAGTGGGGGAGGGACAGAGAGTGAGGGAGACACAGAATCCAAAGCAGGCATGGGTCTTGAACTCATGAATTGTGAGAACATGACCTGAGCTGAAGTTAGATGCTTAACCAACTGAGCCACCCAGGTGCCCCTATCTAGTACTATTTTAAATAAGAGTGGTGAAAATGAAAAAAAGAGTGGTGAGAATAGACATCCCTGTCTTTTTCCTGACCATAGAGGAAAAACTTTCACTTTTTCCCCATTGAGGATTATGTTAGTTGTGGGGTTTTCATATATGGCCTTTGTTATGTTGAGATAAGTTCCCTCTAAATCTACTTTGTTGAGGGTTTTTTTTTTTTATCATGAATGGATATTGTACTTTATCAAATGCCCTTTCTGCATCTATTAAAATTATCACATGGTATTTATCCTTTCTTTTATTAATGTGTTGTATCACGTTGATGTGTGAATATGGAACCACCGTTGCAACCCGGGAATAAATCCCACTTTGTCACGGTGAATGATTCCTTCAATGTTGTTGGATTTGGTTTGTTAGTATTTTATTGAGGATTTTTGCATCCATGATCATCAGTGATATTGGCCTGTAGTTCTCTTTTTTACTGATGTCTTTATCTGATTTTAGTATCAGGGTAATGCTAGCCTCATGGAATAAATTTAGAAGTTTTACTTCAGGTTCATTTTTTTGGAATAGTTTGAGAAGAACATGTATTAACTTCTTTAAATGTTTGGTAAAATTCACCTGTGAAGTCATCTGGTCCTGAACTTTTGTTTGTTTAGAGATTTTGATGGCTCGTTCAATTTCTTTTCAGGTTATTGGTCTCTTCAAGTTTTTTTTTTTTTGTTTTTTTTTTTTTTTTTTTTTTTTTTTTTTTTTTTTTTTTTTTTTTTTTTTTTTTTTTTTTTTT